ATAGACCACCTACCTCCAAATAAACAAAGGCTCCACCTCCAGATAGTTGTAGCAAAGGAACAGGAGATCAGCAAATGGAAACAGTCCTCATTCTCGGCCTTACACAAGGAACACCAATTTGGGGAAAGACAAAGCGAGGGTCTCTTTTTCTGTAAGTTTTCCAAAGTATTGATTTTCCCATAGAAGACTTCCCAGTAGAATATAGCAATTTTTTGGGGAATAGGTCGCACCCAGACTTCTTTGATAGGGAATCCTTGGGAAATGGGGTTAGAACTAAGGGATTTTAGAAAAGAAGAGGAAGTAAAAGTACCTTTTGGAAGAGAAGTCCAAACCCTTTGATTAGAAGAAGTGGGGTCCAAGCAAATGGATTCTAGTAAATGAATTAGCTCAATAACACAACTCGACTCACCATCCCTTAACCCTCTACAAAACCCAAAGTCCCAGTTTAAAGATAAGGGGTTTAACGGGCTCGGGAGAAAAGTTGCAATTGGCTCATGTTTGTGAAGGGAAAAGGAATAAAGCGAGGGGAAACAATCTTCGAGGGGTTGAGTACCCACCCAAACATCCTTCCAGAACATAATAGCATTACCAGAACAAGCATCATACCTGATGAATCTGAGGAAGCGAGGGAGAATACCATGTATAGCCTTCCAAGGTGTAGTAAGGGTAGCTCGGCAAGATATCCCGAAATCCCAACCATTTCCTACACAACCATGAAGGTGAAGGTGGTTTGGGGCTGCATCCCATTCACATTTTGCTGGAACATTTGGAAGGAGAGGAACAGAAGAATTTTTTATGACAAAAGTTGTAATTTGGACAGGATAGTAGCTGCAATAAGCAAATCAGTGGTCAACTGGGTTTTGATTCACCCAGAATTCAGTCAATGCGCAAGGGAGGACTTGGGGGAAAACTTAGGGGAAGTGTTGGGTTTTCAAATATGTGATTTGGAAAATTTGTATTGAATCTGGGATTCTTGTATTCTTTTTTTGATGTAACGGATGATGCCTCATCACCACTAATTTGTACTCTTCCTTTTCTTATTTTAATGAAATTATTTATTTACTTATCAAAAATATAGTAAGGAGCAATTTGATGCAAGTCAATGGTTCTAGAAGAGTTAGGAAAAGGATAAAAAACATGGATAGAAGCAGGAATAACAGATATGAAGAATCATAATTTGACAGAAAAAATCACCATTGATAGTGTCAAAGGGAAGAGAGAAATGGTGTGGCTGACCTAAGTAGTTAGGACAAAGCTTTCTTGAGTTGAACCAAATTGTAATATAGGACTTAAACCCAAGTGAATTTTTAACTTAATAAGGAGGTTTAAAACAAGAACATTGAAAAATATTAAGGAAAAAGAGAAATAAATCCTTCATTGTACAAAAAACAAGTCCCAACTCCCAACCAGTTTAACTCCAAACAGATATTTAAGTTATAACGTTCACAAATCAACTTGCAATATTTGAGCACTAACTTACAGGCTATTTCAGAAAATTAACAGCAATATTATCTGAAATGAAAGCCCTATTCACAAGCCAAATCTTTAACGGTATTGTATTAATAAGATTCAAACAGCACTGGCTTAATTGCCCTCATATTCTCGGCTTACATGCATAAATACATGTCAAATAAACCAACAAGTATGATACATAATGAACCATTAGAATACTAGAACACACTTCTGATGGTTAATTCGGAAAGAATATGGTCACTTTTCACAACACCACGGTCAAACCAAATCACAACATAAGATAAGAACAACACGCTCAGATCAAACAACAGAGAGCCTGAGCTATGCCTTACTTTTCAATGTTTGATAGTAAGCCTTGGATATGATTATCAACCAAGTACGTTTAAGTAGATGTATAAGAAATAAGAATAGCCTAGAAGGCTAGAACTATCTCCCACTTTTCCCCCAACATAATACAACCAAGGCTTAAAAGTTAAAACCACAGGAAGACAATGTGAGCGCTTAGCAACTCTGTTGGGAAAAGATAACTCTGCACGCTTAAGATGCCAACTCCCAGCAGATTGGAAGTTTAGATCTCTTTCCACCATTAACATCATATTCAGTAAAGCTAAACTGTAAACGCGAAACTTTGGTTGAACTAGTAATCAACATGTCCACAACTTCACACAAGTTTTGGAAACTGGAACCCAAAAATGGCAATGAGGACAAAAGTTTGCTGGAATTTTCTCATCTTTTGTCCAAAAAGAAAATCGAACATATTGAGTTATAATTTCAACTAAGGTATGGATGCTCGACGAAAAGCCCTAGTTATAGAAGTAGAAACAGCAGGAAAACGAAAATTCATGAAAGAACGGGAAAATAGCAGACCTTAACGGCGACGACAGAGCCATATAAATCGAAGACTCTGCGAAGGCTGTCTTCAGTACAATCGTAGGGGAGTCCTCCCACATAGATCGAATTATCGTCGTCGATCGTCATCTATTTTTTGTTGGCGCTCGCATAAACCCCTTCGGAGAGGAGCCTCTGCAACAAGCTAAGAAGGAACTCCGCTTTCTGGGAAATGTTTTTTTCGGAATGCTAGAAAACAACGAGATTTATGCAATTCTTGGCCCCACCATGTCTGTAAGGCGTGGTATGTAGAATTGCATAACTCCATAGCAAGTTAGAACATCCTCTTTTTGGACTGGGCCCGAGGCCCAGATGTTTATACAAGAGAACTTCAGGGCAAGTGGTGAGGGTTCGGATCTGCAGACCACAACATATTGTTTGCCGCGTTTGCACATCAGGAACATCGGTTGTACTTTACATCGCTGATATTCCTGATGAACGGTTTGATGAATGAGACTCAAGTGGTGAATGTATAAAAGTCTGAAAGCGTTTTCATTAATAACATTTAAGGTTGGCATGGCTAATGGCAAACGCCCTTAAGTTGATAGGTCTCACAGAAAAGAAATAAATAAGTTTCAAACAGTCCTATAATAGTTTATCTATTTAAAAATGTAATACTCTCCTTAGTTTTGGATAAATTATTTATCTATACACACCAAAATCACTAATATATGATGGGACAATATTATCCCTTCAATAACATTATTTTTTTAAGTAAAACGGTCATTTACCAAAACGAGAATAAAGCCTTAGAGTTGGTGCCCATTTGGAGGGCTTTCACAAGTAGCCTCTCACATTGCAAGGTAGACCCACGTCAATAAAGCCATATTTGGTGAAAAACCTAATAAGCTGGATGTACACTTACATAAGCCATGAAATCAAATTTCCAGTGAAGCAATGATTAATAGCTTCTTCGAAGTTGCTCAATCAACGCTAAAGCTACCAAACAATGGGACTGCAAGTTGGGGTGCCCATTTAATGCATTTCAACTAGGGTTTGGGCCAATTCAAAAATTAACAAATTATCACCCTAATTCAACTCAAGTTGCCGCCCTACGAGTCCAGATCCTCTACATTTACTGTCTTGTACTAAGTAAGGCATACACTAACATATGAAAATTCATCAAATTTTACATGGGTGGCTTTGATTGGTCAAACTCTCGGGTGGTATGATACCAGAAGATCTCACGTTTAAAAGTTTGACCAATCAAAACCACCCTGTGAAGGAGAGAGGACTAATTTGAACTACCATTAATCCAAGAGGAACGCTTTTAATTATATTATAGAGAGTAGCCAATAAGGCACAAGATTGGATTGAAATTGGAAATAAAACCTGATGGCAATGAAGTCTTAATTAAATTTATGGCCTTTGCCCTACAGTTTTTACAATGTCTTATTGCCTTTTCCCTGAAAAAAGATTAGTTAGATCTTATTGTCCACAACATGCAATAAGAGAGGTGTGGGCTTTAGGCTCCATTTTGAAGGAGTACAAATACAAATATGAGTGCAAAACCATCTGATTTGTATTATTTTGCATGTATTTATACTGCACATATTTGAATTTGTGTTCCTTCCATATTAAGCCATAGGTTCAGTTTGAAAAAAGTATAAATACAAATACAAATATGTAGAGTGCAAAACCATCTAATTTATATTATTTTGTATGTATTTATACTGTACATATTTGAATTTGTATTTCTTCCAAATATAAAATTTTGCACCCTATATATCTTTATCTATACTCCTCCCAAACTGAGCCTTAAGGACTCATGATCTTCTAACCTAGTTAGGTGAACACAGTGACTTGGGCCCATGACTATTTTACACTTCTTTGAGCTGAGACTTTATGCCAGTCCAATTCAAACTTTGGCAAAAAGTTGTTTATGGAGAGTTGGAGATAGTTTTTTATTTTTTATTTTTGAAGATAAACAAAATATATATTAGATAAGACAAAGATGTGCAAAGTTATCAGCTCTTGGAATCCCATCAGGATAGTCATAATATTCAAAAAAAGATAAAGGATGTGTTTTAGCCTGTTGGAAGACTTTATGAGCTGGTACATTAAAAGTCCTATTTATAAAATGAAAAGTAATGTTAAGGTTCAAAGAAGAAATTAAGTTTTGGGTTCTCAACAAAAACCAGTGGCAGAAACAAGGAAGAGTACATATCTTTTATAGAGCTTGGACTATCTGTTTCACATATCAGCATATAACTATTTCTTTTTTATTCCAATGTTGTAATCCCATTATCACCTACATAATGGCATATAGTTCCGCTTGGTCAATAGAAGTAGGATGTGATATTCTTCCTCCAATAACTTTCAAACATTCCAAGCCTACATTTAATATTACAATAGTAAAGTTGTATAAATAGTCTTAAATTTTCCCTACATCAATGAAGACAATTAGCTCAGTAGTATTATTAATTGTCAAATTCATTCTTTGAGTTCCATAGAGGGATTGATGTAAATTTTCCTATGGTCTTGATTCCATGGATTGTTGGAAGGTTCTATTAGCAATAGAAATAATTTGAAAAGGTAGAATTTGTTTTTTCCTAAAAATTTTTTCATTCCCGGCATACCATATGTAATAACATGCAATAGCTAACCAATTCAAACATTAAAGGAGAAGGTGATTGTCAGCTAGTTGGTTATAAAGTTCCTTAAGACAGGAAGTCCAAGAGTCCTAAAAAATATTATGCAAGTTGAGATTCCAGGGATTTCCAAATAACACAGCTTGAGAGAATTGGCAATTAATAAACAGATGAGTAAGTGTTTCTTCTAATTCTTCACACAGAGTACACAACTTGTCTATTGGATCTATAAAAAGAGAAGTTTTAACTGGAATGAAATTGTTAAGAATTCTCAAAAAGAAAAGTTGATAACGAGGAGGAGTAGTCAACTTTCAAATCTTGGATAAACAGAATTTGAAATTTTCTAATAGATTTGGAAGAATAGTCCTTTGTTTAATCTTGTATTCCTCCTTAATTGTGTACCTCCCAGAATGAGGGGTCTATATCTAATTCATTTCATTATTTGAGGGAAAATTAGGGTTTTGTAAAATATCCATTGCTTCTTCTCTTGGAAAGATTAGTTGAATTTTACTTGTATGCCAATGCCTCATAGAAATTAGGGATGAAATATTCAAATTTTGTAGATGAGGGGCAATAGGAAAAGTAATCCAATAGAAATTATGATTTCTCTAGATCCAAGGGAACTGATGAACCAGAAAGTTTGAATTTTCATTCACTAGATAACCTACTTCAKAAGCCAATTATATTAAGTTGGGACAAACAGCTTTCCAACATATAAAAGCAGTAGAGGTAGAGGCATAGAGAATTATATTATGATTTTTAAGATATTTAGATTTTCAAACCTGTGCCCATAATTTGTGTTGCTCATTTAAAATTTTCCAAGCTATTTTCTTAAGAAGATCATGGTTTACCAAAGTAAGATTCTTAAAACCTAAACCACCAAAAGCTTTGGGTAACAAGAGAACACTACAAGGACACCAACGATGAGGATGTTTTTGAGTAGCAAACACACCGCACTAGAAATTTTTAATTATTTTATTCATTTGTTCTATCATTTTCTAGGGAAATTGAATAAGACTCATAGTATGAATAGGTAAAGCTTGAAGAACAGATTGAATAAGAATTTTCTTTCCAGCTGACTAATTGTAGAGGCTCTCCAATTGTTTAATTTGGATTTCATATTTCCCAAAATAAAGTTAAGTTGAGAATGTCTATTACGGGACCAAAGAAGAGGAAGGCCTAAATATTTTGAATTTTTGTTAAGAGAGCTTATGTGCAGTTGTCTTTTAATCATACGTTGATGCCGAGGGTGAATATTCTTATTGCAAAAAACTCCAGATTTTTCCAAATTAATCATTTGCCTAGAAGCTTGTTGAAATTTAGTAAGAATTTGGAGTAAATTGTCTAAATCTTCCCTATGAACTTTCAAAAAAAGCATGACATCATCCACAAAGAAAATATGAGAAATTTTAGGGGAGTTAGAAGTTAAGGATATGCCTTGTATTTTGCCTTCCATTGCTACGATAAATAAATCATGAGATAAAGGATCTCTTTGTCTTAAGCCTCTAGAAGGGCAAAAATGTCCATCAGAAGTACCATTGGTTAAAAGAAAGCTCCATTCAAGGCGGTAATAGGCTTTTGACATGTCTAACTTTAAAGCAAGATAGCCTATACCGCGTCTCTTATGTTTTAAATAATGGAAAACCTCAAGATAGCCTATACCGCGTCTCTTATGTTTTAAATACCACGTCTCTTAGTCATCTGACGACCTRGAACAAAAGCTACCTGATTTGGAGCTATACACTTATCCAGGAGGGTACGAAGTCTAGAAGCTATCAGTTTAGCTATCACTTTATAAATTACATTGCATAAACTGATAGGCCTTTAGTCTTGGACTTTTGTGCAATCAATCCTTTTAGGAATAAGTCGGCCTTCTGAGCATTTTTTTATTCCTAAAAAACTCCTAAACCACTTGTACAATTTTTGACCCCATCAAATCCCAGCATTCCTTAAAAACCAAGGCTGGCATTCCATCTGGACCAAGAGATTTCAAACTGCCAATACTGAAAATAGTAGATTTAACTTCTTCAGATGGAACATTCAAAAGCCTAGTATTATCCTCTTCAGTAATAATTGAAGGAAATAAATTTGGTAAGTCTTCAATTTCCTGAGTATCTTGGGAAGAGAAAAGCTTCGAGAAATAATCCGCAAAAATTTTTGCAATATCTTCATGTTCCACTGATTATTGTCATCCATTATTCCTTCAATATAATTTCTTTTCCTTCTAAAAAAAGTACTTTTATGGAAAAAAAAATAGTATTTCTATCAACTAAATGTAGCCAAGTGTTGTAACATTTCTGTCTCCAAAAGCTTTCCAATTGCCACGTAGTTTCTTCCAATTCTTTATAAAGGCTATGGAGGTTTGAGTAATCTTCCAATTGTTCAACCTGAATGATTTTGGCTTCCAAATTGTTTATTTTTACTTTTGGATCAGGAAAAGATTGTTTCCTCCAATGGATTAGATTTTTCTTTACCATATCCAACTTTTGAGTTATTTGAAACGCTGCCTGAGCATTGATTTGACAAGTCCAACCTTCCTCCATAACTTGTTTACAAGAGGACTCTGCTAACCACATCTCAAAGAATCTAAAAGGTTT